ATCCTCACCATACCAGTGCTGGGATCTCATATATGTACCAGTTCATGTTTGGGCTGCTCCACTTTCCATCCAGCTCCCTGCTTGTGGCCAGGGACAGCAGTCGAGGACAGTCCAAGGGCTTGGGACCCTGCAACCACATGGGAGACCTGGAAGAAGCTCCTGGCTCATGGCTTCAAATTGGCTCAACTAAGGCCACTGCAGCCACCTGGGAAGTGAGCCAGCCGATGCAAGATTTCTCTCTCTGCCTCTCTGTTCTGTAAATCTATCTTTCCTATAAAAATAAGTAACTCTTGGGCCTGGCGGAGTGGCCTAGCAGCTGAAGTCCTTGCCTTGAACGCGCCAGGATCCCATATGGGCTCCGGTTCTAATCCCGGCAACTCCACTTCCCATCCATCCAGCTCCCTGCTTGTGGCCTGGGAAAGCAGTCGAGGACGGCCCAAGGCTTTGGGACCCTGCACCCATGTGGGAGACCCGGAGGTTCCTGGCTCCTGGCTTCGGATCAGCATAGCTCACTTGGGGAGTGAATCATCGGACGAAAGATCTTCCTCTCTGTCTCTCCTCCTCTCTGTATATCTGACTTTCCAATAAATAAATAATTTTTTTTTTAAAAAAGTAACTCTTTCAAAAATAGAAAGAAATGGGTTAAGCAAACGAGCAGACATTTTTCAAAGGACTAAAGTCAAATGGCTAACAGACATAAAAAAGTGCTCAAGCTTTCTGGCAATAAGCAAAATACAAATAAAACCCAGAATGAGCTTCCACTGAATCCCAGTAAGAATTACTTACATATAGAAATCTACTAACAACAAGTAGGATGGGGAAAGAATGTGGAGAAAAAGGTATTCTATTCCACTGCTGGTGGGACTGCAGACTGGTGTAGCGAATATGGAAGTCAGTATGAAGAGTACTATGCAACTGAAATGTCATCTACCATATGACCCAGCACACCTACTCCACTCCCAAAAGAAGTGGCACATACAATGTGCACCCCTATATTTACTGCACCCTGATCAACAATAGTAAAAACATGGAAACAACCTAGATGTTCACTGAAAGAGAACTGAATAAAGAAACTGTGATACATCTACTCTATGAAATACTATTCAGCCATTAAAAAGAGTGAAATCTACATTTGCAACAAAGTGGTCGCAAATGGAGACTATCAGGCTCAGTGAAATAAGCCAATCCCAAAAGAAGAAATATCTTATGTTCACTCTGATCTAAGACAACCATTATCCAAAATTCAAAACAAAAATATATAAAAGTAAATATACAAATGAACAATGTAATGGAGACCAGAGTATGAGAAATCAAAGATCAATAGTATGCATCCCTATTCTTGAACAAAAGTAGGCCCTCAATAAATCTGCTAAATATACCGAAACATCAAAATACTAGACTCTCTACCACTGTTTATGCCTGCAATATTATGACACATGTAACGAGCAGAATACTGGAGTTGAGACTACAGCTGAAGGACTACATTATTGTTAAACACAGGGGACTATAGGAGAGGGTGGTAGGGTGAGGGAGGAAAGAGAGGGAAAGGGGGTGGAGCCTTATACCTTCAAAACTGCAAAATGGAAAATAAGAATTAAAAAGACTCAAAGGTAGTTATATAAAGCAGGAGAGGTAATGACTCAGAAGCAGCCACAGTCTGTGAGGATGCTGATCCAATCTCCGAATTCAAAGTATGGGAGTTAAGGAAGACTGAGCACAGCAAATGTTTGAGAGGGCTTCAGAGAAGGTAATATTTTCCGTGGAGGGCCAGAAGTTTCAAGACAGCTAAAGTATGTATGGGAGGGGCTGAACAGTCGAGCCACCTGGAGCCAGAAGGATCTTGCTTCCAAGGAATCTTCATGAAAAGCTACTAGGGGAGCACCAAGAATATGAGTCTATCCACTGGGAATCAGCAGAGTCCAGCCTTGATTCGGTTCCAAGGAAATCCTACACTAGGTTGTCAGACAACAAAAAGACTAAATAGATCTCACGTAGTTACAGAACAAAACAAAAATGGATGATAGCAGAATGGGGGGACTGTTGTAATGTGAAGTTTCAGCCTAATAATCCTGTCTTAAAAAAACTTCTATCACAGGGATCACCAATCCATAAATGCCATTTTAGTTGAGAGTAAACATATAAGGGACAGGAAGTGTCACAGGCTATTAGCATAACTCATCATTGAGTAAAGAATCTCTTATGGGTACTTTCAATGCAGTGGTTAAATCTCTGCTTGGAACATCTGCACGCCTTTTTGGAGTGCCTGGCTTCAGTTTCAGTTTCTCTACTCACAATCCAACTTCCTTATGCTAATGTGCACTGTGAGGGGCATAGGACCCCCTCAAGTCCTTGGGTCCCTGCTACACACAGGAGACCCAACAGAGTTCCAGTCTCCTAGCTTCAAGTTCTTCAACCCCCAGTTGTTGAAGTCATTGGAGAGTGAACTAGCAAGGAAAGATCTCTCTGACTGTAAATAAAATGAAAGAAATAGCTTTATAAGTAATTTTTAACTGTTCTATACTAAAATTTCTGATAAAAAAAAAACACCTGCTCATAATGTCTGATAATATTTTGTTATCACAAGCAAATAAGATAACTTTGGAATAAACTAAAAATGCCATTAGTTATTAAATGTAACTGCCAAGCCTAAAAAAATTACAATGGACAATCTAATAAAAATGGGTAACAAACATAACTTAGGATTTAGGATTTATTATTTTTAAGTGGTAAATACTGAAAAACAAGTTTTAAGTATTTTGTAATACAAAGGCAACTGAATCTTAAGAATCAGAATAGTCAATCCAACCAATCATATTTCAACTTCATTAGTGGTCTTAGAAATACAAACTGAAGGGCCTGGCACAGTAGCCTAGCAGTTAAAGTCCTTGCCTTGCACGTGCGGGGATCCCATTTGGGCTGATCCTAATCCCGGTGGCCCCACTTCCCATCCACTTCCTGCTTGAGGCCTAGGAAAGCAGTTGAGGATGGCCCAAAGCCTTGAGACCCTGCACCTGCGTGGGAGACCTGGAAGAGGCTCCTGGCTCCTGGCTTCAGATCGGTTCAGCTCCGGCCATTGCGGCCACTTACAGAGTGAATCATCGGATGGAAGATCTTCCTCTCTCTCCTCCTCTCTGTATATCTGACTTTCCAATTAAAAAAAAAAATCTTAAAAGAAAAAGAAGAAAAAAAGAACAAATACAAACTGAAAATTATTTTCTTTGTCGAATTAACAAATATTCTTAAAGAGCACTGCTGCAAGTAAACACCACGGTGCGGCCTTCCGGAAGCGGACGGTGGACAACGCTCACAAAGGTCTAAGTGTATGCATTTTTTTCATTTCCAAAATTCTATTCACAAAATCGTAACTTAACAAATTATTCATATTTAGATGAGAAATATACTAAACACACTGTAATTTGTTTTAATCTGAAATTCATTTTTAACAGAAATGCATTATTAATTTTTAAAGCAAAAGGTATTCCTAAAAGTAAATGAAACTGAGCAAATGCTGTGTGCTTATGTGCCAAGGCTCTCAGAAATACGCAGTAAAGGGAAAAGAGGTGTTTTCTTTTTAAAAATAGGTAGATAATTCTCAGAGGGAAAAAAGGACACTAATCTTTTCATAAACGTCTCAAACCAATTAGGATTGGCACCTACATACGAGTATGAAAAATGACTCTGCATTGATTAGCTGTTAGTATAAAATAAACATATGTTACTATGCAGTAAGAGATGCAATTAACAGCTAAAATGACAGACCCTTAATGAGACATTCATTAGGCATCAAGAATAAATTGAATGTAGAAAGCTCGCATTCCACATCCAAGCTGTACCCCTCTTACCTCGACAGTCCTTCTGGTCTCGGGAAATTTGACAAGAATCCTATACATGTTTACAGATGATGCTAACGTTAAGATGTAACTTTTAATATGCTGCAAGTAACTGAAATGATTTCTAAATCACTCTTAATTTAAAATTTAAGATTTTTTTTTTTTAAATTGGAAAGTAACATATACAGAGAGGAGGAGAGAGAGAGGACGATCTTTGGTCCAATGGTTCCTTCCCCAAATGGCCGCAACGACCAGAGCTGAGCTGATCTAAAGCCAGAGGCCAGGAGTTTCCTCTGGGTCTCCCGCACGGGTGCAGGGTCCCAAGGCTTTGAGCCATCTCAACTGCTTTTCCAGGCCACAAGCAGGGAGCTGCATTGGAAAGAGATTGCCAGGATTAGAACCAGCACCCATATGAGATCCTGGGTATGCAAGGAGAAGATTTTAGTCACTAGGCTACTGCACCGGGCCCCGAATCTTTAAATTTAAAGAGCAAAGTAATGAGATAAGTATATCTGAGATATTAAGTGACTTGTGGGGCCAGTGTTGGTGACACAGTGAGTTATGCTGCCACTTGTAATGCCAACATCCCATAAGAGAGTTTTAGTTCTGAGTCCTGGGTACTCCGCTTCTGATCCAGCTCCTTTCTAACATAGCTGAGAGAGTAATGGAAGACTGCTTAAGTGCTTGGGGTCTAGGCTAGACCTGGCAGTTGCAGCCATTTAGAAAGTAAAGCATTGGACAAAATCTCTCTCCACAATATTAGATGACTTGTCTTTGTCTATTACACCAGCAAGAACCACCAAACAGCAGCATAAAACCATGCTTCCTATGGATATGTGTGTATAACTGGTACACGTGTTCATTAAAACATACGTGAATATGTCTGTAAATTTACATGTTACTTATTAAACACTTGATTTCAACCTTTACTTGGCAAGCACTTCAAGTACAGAGCTTAGCATGGACTTAAAATATGTGATGCTGCCTCCTGATGAATTACTCAATAAGTCTCATCTTGAGACCTAGAACATTGTTACATGTTTAGTACCCAGAGGAACAATAGTTTTCTACATTACAGAGTAAACCTTGCTTTCGGTAGGCTGGCAGATATCCATAAACGGGAATCCTGCCACCAGTCCCTGAGCAAACAGTTACACACGGCATACTCACATCCGCATAGTGGCCCAACATGTCACATCGATCACATCTTTTTCTCCAGGAAGATCTTCCCAGACATCTGTGAGTGGAGGACATAGGCAAAGAACAGTCTAAACAAAAGCGCGCTGGACAGGAATACTGGAGGTGTCCTCTCTCGGAGCACAGGCAGCAGGGACGGACTTTCTACACAGCAGAAAAACAGAGACATTTCTGTTCAGTCTCAGGCGGTGAATGATTAGCGTTTCCTCTTCTAAAACGTTAGGTGAAACAATATTCCCCAATGGAGCCCCAAAGAAAACCAAGCCTTAAATCTAACTATAACAATTGAACAAAATCTTTGAAATCAGAGGTTTAAAATGAGTTATTTTTATCCTGTAGCTGCCAGAAAGGCTTATCTGCATTATCGCATGGCAACCCTTCTTAAACTTTGTCTTACAGGACTATTGAAAATAGAAAGTGTTTAAGAAGGAAAGTAAAATGAAGATCTTAGGAAACTCAATCATAGGCAGAGCAATGCAGAAAAGTCCTGGAAAAACAAAAAAGTAACAAAGATAAAAACAAACAAATAATGGGTCAATTGGTTAATCCTCCACCCGTGAGCATCAACATAACATATGGGCACTGGTTCATGTCACAACTGCTCCATTTCCCATCCAGCAAACTATTTACAGCTTGGGAAAGCAGTGGAGGACAGCCAAGGCCTTGGGAGCCTGTACCCATGTGGGAGACCCAGAGGAGGCTCTTAGGTTTGGATCAGCTCAGCTCCCTAACCTTAATGATCATTCAGAGAGCAAACCGAAAAATGAAGATCTTTCTGTCTCTCTGTAAATCTTTCCAATAAAATAAATAAATAAATCTTTTTTAAAAAGGCAAATATACAGAGAGGAGAGACAGAGAAGATCTTCCGTCCGATGATTCACTTTCCAAGTGGCTGTCACAGCTTGATGTTGAGCCAATCCGAAGCCAGGAGCCTCTACCAGTCTCCTACGCAGGTGCAGGGTCCCAAAGTCTTGGATCGTCATTGACTGCTTTCCCAGGCCACAAGCAGGGAGCTGGATGGGAAGTGGGGCCGCTGGGATTAGAACTGGTGCTCATATGGCATCCTGGCGTGTTCAAGGCGAGGACCTTAACCGCTGCGCTATCGCTCCGGGCCCTATAAAACTTTTTTTTAAAAAGAAAAATATGAATACTGTCAAGAATCTGAAAGACAGTCACTTTGAAGAGGAAACAAGTAATGGAAAAAATGCTTGTTAATAACTTATTAGATGTTAGAGAACGTCTAAGAGTTTTAGCTCTGTGTCGTTTCAAAGATTAACATACCTACTTAACATAATCTCCATTGATAAACATTTAAATTTCTCTAGCATAATTTTCGAACAACAAAAATTATCCTAAAATAAAACAGGCTGTCTGTTAAAATAGAAGGTTTAGAAATGAAAAGGGCTCAGGATCAAGACTGAAGACATCTCATTTTACAGATAAGGAAACAAAGGTACAGATCATGGCATAACGTGACCAGCATCAAACAACTAGAGTACAGTCTGAAGTTGAATCCACACTTTTGACTCCAAATTCTCTGTTCTTTGCTGAACAGCAGACTGTGACCTATTTGGAATTTAACAACATATGTATCACAAAAGGTTTGAAATCTAAAGTTGCAGCATTCTAACATTTTTATTTTGAACATACGTAAAGAAACATTACATATTTTACATACTTGTGGTAACGGGCAGTTTTTTGATAAATGGCCACATTTGTCACAATTTCTGCAGGTAACATTTTTGTTGACTGAATAGTATCGGGGAGTCCATCTTCCAGAAGCTCTGTTATTACCTATCTGTGCCTAAAGGGGAAAAACAAAAAGAATCAAAGGAAAAAAACCCAGTTTCATTCTGTTAAGTAATAGTCATCCATTCTCTTTGAAAGACAACTTAACTGTGTGTAAAGAAACATCCAATTTCAAGTCAGTACCCTTTCCTTGATAAAGCAACAGAACCAACAGTCAAGTTTGGCCAATTTAGAACTCAGCAATAGGACATTTTCTCATTCTTGCTGACTCTCACAAAAAGGTAAAAAAACACAGAGTAATGAAGCACTTCTTTTTTGTCTGCCCTATTGATTATTCTTTTACAATTTTCTCTAAGATTTTCTTTTGCTTGTATTTTTTCTGCTTTGTACAGACTCAGAAGGTGTACTGATATACATTATTTAGACGTTTTGTTAGCATTCAGAATCAAACCTGTACTCCCAAAGTTGAACCTTAAGCATAAATACAAAAATCAAACAAAACCTTTGAAATAAGAGCTTTAAAATAGTTATATGTATACTGTAGCTGCCAAGAAGGCTTATTTTAGTTCACATCCATTCAGAATCAAACTCTGTCACGCTACTAACTCATATGTCTGAAAGTACATCAGAGGTGGATGTTTAGTACAGTAGCTAAGAAGCTGACTTGGAAAGCAAGCAACCCACACCAGATTGCTGAGGTCAATTCCTGTCTCCATTGGGTTCCAGTTTCCCGCCACTGCAAACTCTGGGAGGCAGCAAGTGTTGGCTAAGGAACCTGGGTCTCTACCACCCATATGGAGACCAGGACTGGGTTTAGGGCTCCGAGCTGCTGGTTAGCCCAACCCAGGCTGCTGCAGGGATGTCAGAGTGAACCAGGGAATAGAAGATGTTTCTCTTTCTATTAGCCTTTAGATAAATGAAAATAAATGTACATTAACATTTTGCTGAATAAGAGATCTGCTTGCTTTCTAGTTAAGTGACAAAAGTTTTAAAAATTTACCTTTTCTAGCCTTGTGAAACTTCATAGCTACCAAACACTTCCCTTCTTTCATAAAGCACAGGGTTACAAAATTGGAAAATTTCTAAAATAGAGTGAAATGATTTCTTTCCCAGAGTTATTTTTAACATTCATTTTGCCTACACAGTGACTCAGTGTTGAATTGTCCTATATCACATAGAATATCTAGTATATATATATAAACTCAAACTGTGTTCTTTCCTTGTTTGCCAGAGTTCTATTTTAAAAGCTTTCAATTTCTGAACATTCTACTGTACTGCCTTAGCAGCTCATAAATAGATATACTGTAACTATCAGAACTTCTACCAAGTTTTAAAACCATTCTTTTTCAAAAGAATCTGCCACAATTAAGGCTAATAATTGACAAAGATAAACACCTGCTGCATTCTAAATATAGACTAACCATTTCCTTACACTGAAGAAGCAGTTATTTCCGCGACTCATGTTTAGTGGTAGCAGGCCGTAAGGGCTGTCAGGACTCACCATGGCAAAGAAAGGGAAAGGCAACCAAGTTATCACGGCTACCAAATGATTTAGAAAAGTCAAGGACAAACCAAGTTTCCAAAAAGCTAAATCACTCACATATTAAGAGCAAACATCTCCTTATAAGCGACCCAATCCACAATCAATTAAAAACTTTTATTAACCTTCCAAAAGTTATTATAAAAGGAAGCTATTAATCAAAGAAAATTCTTAACTGATTATTCAAAGCTTCAAAACTTATTTTACCTCAATGTCTCTGTCACTGATGAACCAGTTTGCGCTGTCTTCTCCTATAAAGAAATAAAAATATTACTCAACCTTGGCATCTTTAAAATACTTAGACACAGATAACAGATGATTTGATTTGTTATTATTCAAGTTAGACTCCAAAGGCACAGCAAGAATGGACTGAAAGCCTTACACTTTTATCTTAGCACTGGTATTAGTTGAGTGCTTCTTAACAAATAACCTCCGAATCTGTTTCCTCAGTTGTGAAAACTGGGATAATATTTTTTCTATATTCTGTGAGAACCAAACAAGATCCATAAAAATGGTTTGATGATCACCAAAATATATACAAATTAAAAAAAAAAATCAGTGATGAAACCTAAAACCTGAGCAGATGTAGAAGGAACTCTCATTTGAACTCTGCTTAACTGACTAAGGCAGGTTTCACAGAGAGGCCTTGACCATGACCCTCCCGCTGCCTCGAGGATGTGTTCAGTCATGAAAGCGAACGGGTTACCTCATTTACTCCTGTGATTCCGTAAACTTTCTTTCTTCTTCCTTTTTCTTTTTCTTAAGCTGGCATCTAAGACTTTTCCTCTCTAATCCTCCAACCTCATGAGCAATGTTTCTCATTACTGAGTGCTCCTGCACCTGGGGATAAACCTGGTCTTTCTTCCAGCTAAACTGCCCATTGTCAGTTAACTTCTAGCTGCCCCTCCATAGGTATCGAAGTTGGCAGAGCAAGTTTTTCCTCCCCAAATCAGCATTAACCATGTTCACAGGCTGTCCATTCTAGGTGACTCGAGTTTAACAACTACAACAACAGAAAAATTCTGAAGCCCATACTAGTAGCAGTAGGAATCCAGCACTGTATTTCTTTTAAACATTAAAAACAGTGAAACAAAGAACCAAAAAGGGAGGCCAACTATCCAGAAGTCACTGACTGATCTAAAAATATAACTATAAAAACCAGGAGCTACAAAATGTTACATTTTCCTGCATCAGCTGTTTTGTACTCTGTACTCTGTCCTTTTACACAAACCTGCAATGGCTGCTATTCCTTCAGCTCGGCCATGGCAAGCAAGAAAGCACTTACAACTAATGCCAAGGCTAAGGTGTCAAAAAAGAATTAAAAAACCGTGTTCCCAAAGCAGAGATTTCCTCCTTCCTCCTACCTTACCACTTTCCTCTATCTCAAAACACAAATTGAGTTTGACTTATTTCTTTGAAAGGAGTTTTCAAGAGACATGAAGCAATCTACATTTTCCAAGGCCCACCAGGAGAAAGTCTCCAGAGATACATTTGAAAATAAAATAGTTTTACTAGAAGAACACGGGGCTGCTTTACAAAAAGTCCAATTCTTAGGAAAGCAGAGATGCTGTGCTGCTGATTATTTTCTTCGTAAAATCTGAAGGCTGCATGTGTACACTGAGAGTGGAGAATATATTCAACAGCAGCAGACTTTGGTCCTTCATCACCACCATTATTCTTCCACTCAAAGAATCCATGTCGGGAGCATGCGTTGAAGTGCCTGTATTTCAATGTCCTTCTTCATGAAAATGCAAAACGGCCATGTGAAGTTACTTAATTATGAAACTGAACCAAACAGTCCTTAAGAAAATAAAATGCCAAATGCATAAAATGTAAAAAAAACAACTCTGACCACCAGTCAAGCCCTACTAAATTTACACATGAACAAAGAATAGTTAAAAGGAAGGAATAAAAAAGGAAGACCTACTCCATTTACACATTTTGGGTAATTTAACAATATTTCAGGTTCAAATTTCATAAAAAAAGCAATACCATATCCCCCCCACTCAGGAATTAATCAAAGGGCATAAAAAAAGCAGGTCTCAAATCTATGCAAAAGAAGTACTACCCTGGTGGCAAATAAAACAGGAAATTTAGGCTTACCACAAATTTTTAGGGTCCAAGTTTTGCCTGCCCCTGGCAGTGCCAGTGTATTGCCTGATTTTTCTCTTTGTTGTATGCTGTTGGTCATGCCTGATCGCCAAAGACCCAACTAGGGGTAGGCTTGCAGAGGTCCCCTGTCAGATGATACTTCCAGGATTCTCCACTTGATTACATTCTGGGTTTGGGTCCTGAGTGCAAACCTGAGATCCACTTAATCCTGCCTCTAAGTGTGTGATGTTGGACTGACTACTTAGCCTCTCCCAGTCAACATCTTACTGGGTGGGATGATATGGCATCCGTGATGCCTTCCAGCACGGTTGCTGTGATTCTGTCTGCCTTTCTTTTTGTTACTAGAATCAAACACATTGTCACTTAGTCCAGTTTGCTTTGGTGCTCCAGGCCTTAAAGACCACTTCCCACAGGGCCAGGAGCACTCACCTTCCATGTATCCACCACCTCAAAGACAATGAGGTGTGAAACAGAACTGCCCTCAAGTGGAAACTTCTGACTGCCCCAAGGATGGCTGCTCTCAACTCTCAGCTACTTTGCAGCTTGCTCTTGCTGGTATCTGGGATGGTGACTCTTTCCTTGCATTAACACCAATCCAGTTTAACAAACATCTGTTAAAAGATGACAAGGAGTGAAGTGCTGGAGGGTAAAAGGGGGTGAACAAGAGCTTAAAGCCCGGAAGAAGACAAGGAGGCAAACTTAAGAGAAGACAGAGTAAAGTGACAGTTAGCTTAGAAGACTAGATAATACCTGAATTTAAGAAAGGGGAGGGGGAGTCACAGAAGGCTGAGCCATAAAGGAAACTATTGAGCTACAATTTACATATAGTAAAATGTACCCACAGAAAAAAATACAGTGTGATGCTTTTTTGACAAACTTACACACCTGTGTAACCACTACAGAAATCAAATGTAGAACATTTCTGTCATCCCAGAGTTACTTGGTGCCCATTTGCAGCCAGTCCCACACCCAAGGCAACCACTCATTTGCTTTCTGTCCTGATAACATTTGTTGCACCATTTTGTGACTCTGAACATTTCTGAGATTTATTCACGCTCTTGGGCAGTAGTTGTTTGTTCCTTTTTCCTCTTAGAGCGGTTTCCATCACATGGGTCTAACTTGACCTGCTTGGCCATTAATCCTCTAAATATTTGGGTTGTTGCCATATTGGGGGCAATTACGGATAAAGAATCAGTAATAAATGTAGCAAAGAAAAAAGAATTCTCTTCTAATTGACATTAGTTTCACATTTCTTGGGAAAATACCACAGAGTACCAGTGTTGGATATGGTAAATCTCTCGTTTTCTTTAGGAGACACTGGCATGGCCAGATTAATGTACAGCGTGATAAGCCACTCCACTTAATATTAACAACCTGCTAACGTGCCCTCATAATGTGCACCTGGGGAAGCAGAGGACGGTGACTCCAACAGCTGTGGCCTAGTTCCTGGCGCTCACCTGACTCGGCATATTTTGTTGTGGAGTGAATCAACAGATGGAAAATCTCTGTATATCTCTGTCTTACAAATATGTAAAAATAAATAAAACCTAAAACTCTTATTTTTTAAGATTTGTTTTTATTTGCAACACAAAGAGAAGAAGAGACAGAAAGATCTTCCACCTGCAAAATTCACTCCCAGAATGGCTGCAACGACTAGAGCTGCACCAATCTGAAGCCAGAAGCCAGGACCTTTTCCCTGGTCCCCCACACAAGTGCAAGTTCCCAAGACTTAGGACATCTTCTGCTTTCCTAGGCCACCAATAGGAGCTGAATGGGAAGTAAAGCCTCAGGGATACAACCCGGCATCCATATGAGATCACAGTGCATGCAGGCAAGGACTTTAACCACTAGGCACTGCACTGGGCTGAAAATTTCTGATTTGGTTCTTACAACCAATCTAAAGCTAAATTTAAAATGCACTGTCATAGTTATAAAGCTTTTGGAACTTTCATACATGGTTATAGAGATGTAAGATGGCAAATCCATCTTACGATGGCATTTTAAGATCCATCTTAGGATGGCCAAGCAGATCAAGTTAGACCCATGTGATGGAAACCGCTCTAAGAGGAAAAAGGAACAAACAACTACTGCCCAAGAGCGTGAATAAATCTCAGAAATGTTCAGAGTCACAAAATGGTGCAACAAATGTTATCAGGACAGAAAGCAAATGAGTGGTTGCCTTGGGTGTGGGACTGGCTGCAAATGGGCACCAAGTAACTCTGGGATGACAGAAATGTTCTACATTTGATTTCTGTAGTGGTTACACAGGTGTGTAAGTTTGTCAAAAAAGCATCACACTGTATTTTTTTCTGTGGGTACATTTTACTATATGTAAATTGTAGCTCAATAGTTTCCTTTATGGCTCAGCCTTCTGTGACTCCCCCTCCCCTTTCTTAAATTCAGGTATTATCTAGTCTTCTAAGCTAACTGTCACTTTACTCTGTCTTCTCTTAAGTTTGCCTCCTTGTCTTCTTCCGGGCTTTAAGCTCTTGTTCACCCCCTTTTACCCTCCAGCACTTCACTCCTTGTCATCTTTTAACAGATGTTTGTTAAACTGGATTGGTGTTAATGCAAGGAAAGAGTCACCATCCCAGATACCAGCAAGAGCAAGCTGCAAAGTAGCTGAGAGTTGAGAGCAGCCATCCTTGGGGCAGTCAGAAGTTTCCACTTGAGGGCAGTTCTGTTTCACACCTCATTGTCTTTGAGGTGGTGGATACATGGAAGGTGAGTGCTCCTGGCCCTGTGGGAAGTGGTCTTTAAGGCCTGGAGCACCAAAGCAAACTGGACTAAGTGACAATGTGTTTGATTCTAGTAACAAAAAGAAAGGCAGACAGAATCACAGCAACCGTGCTGGAAGGCATCACGGATGCCATATCATCCCACCCAGTAAGATGTTGACTGGGAGAGGCTAAGTAGTCAGTCCAACATCACACACTTAGAGGCAGGATTAAGTGGATCTCAGGTTTGCACTCAGGACCCAAACCCAGAATGTAATCAAGTGGAGAATCCTGGAAGTATCATCTGACAGGGGACCTCTGCAAGCCTACCCCTAGTTGGGTCTTTGGCGATCAGGCATGACCAACAGCATACAACAAAGAGAAAAATCAGGCAATACACTGGCACTGCCAGGGTC